CGGGGAGGGAGGCCTGAGGAAGATAGGGGGTAAAAAGGGTTTTTCGCTGTTGTTGCTGCTGCTGGCCACCAAGCTGACCAGCATGCTGGGAGCCCTGGAGACCCATAAAAGGCTGGCCATTCATTTGAGCGGCTTGCAAAGCCTGTAGCTGGTTCAGCTGCATGGGATTGAGCTGCTGCCCATACATTTGGGGCATCATCATCTGGTTGGGGAGCTGCATAACCTGAGGTTGATTGGGGTTATACTGAAAGCCCCCGATTCCAGAGACGGACTGGTTCATGGACCCGCGAGGTCGGTGACCAGGCTGGAAGCCTTGGCTCTGTCCGGCATTGCCAGACTGTTCCTGGCCCTGTCCTTGAGTACGCCAGTTACCTTCGAAGTTGCGAGATCCGGTACGAGCATGGCCGCTTCCGCGGCGCTGGAATTCATTGCTCTCAGCATTCAGACCACCACGGCCGCCTCCTCGGCTATTAACCGCCATGCTCTGACTGCGACCATGACCGCCACGTCCACCGCGGGTCGAGCCCTGAGCAACAGGAACATCGAGGGTGGACTGGGAAGCGGGCTTGTTCTCCTCGTCAGGGGCAGGAGAAGCAGGGAAGGAGAAGCCGGTGGTTGTTCGCTTCTGTTGGGCAATCTCGGCGGCCTTCTTGGCGTCGGCGAGGGCTAGAGAGTGTCTTCTTTGATGGCCACCACCAGCACCTCCACCACGGCCGCCTCGGCCTCCAGTATTCTCTCGGCCCTGGGCTTGAGGGGCTTCAAAATTGCCAAACCCGGATCCAGAAGCTCCAGACGAGGGCGCAGGAGGAGGTCCCATGCCCATGTTAGGGAGTGCCGACTGATTACGGCGATGTGAAAGTGGCTGGGTGGGAGGAGCCATGTTCTGCTGAGGTACTTGGTTGGGGAATTGGAAAGCAGCTTGCGACATATTGGGCATTGGCTGCAAAGGATTGAACGCACCACCAGGACCGAGGGGCTGTCCAGGAGGCACCATTCCCATATTGACATATTGCTGATGCGTAGCTTGAATCTGCTGCTGCTGTTGCTGCAACAGTTCGATCTGCTGCTGAATGGCAAGCTGCTCCACTATAAGATAGATCAGTCAGTGATTGCCGCATAATGAACTCCTATAGGGATGGGAGGGGCATCATAGATGATGACTTAGAAACGTATGGAACAGTTGCTGCTCAAAAGGGGCATGACATAGTGGAGGTACATGATGAATATATGAAGTGTTGAAAACAGGACAGTTGAGGCCTCGTGAACTTACTTCCAGGGTTAGCAAACATGCTCATCAGTGGCGTCAGCTCAGAAGGGCTTCGGCGATGGGCAATGTGAAGTCTACGTCCAGCAGGCCCAGGGACGCCGCCAACCTGAGGCTGCTGCTGGGAAGCTTGCTGTTGAGAAGACTGCTGCTGCTGCGGCTGCTGTTGCTGCGGCTGCTGCGGGGGTTGCTGTTGCTGCTGCTCCATGTTGGGCAGTTGAGTCAAGAGCACTTGTATTGTAAATATAGCACGTCGATGTTCGGCGGAGTTGATCGATCAAGATACAGCTAGTTGAATCTGATATCGAGAAGCGTTGTAATGGCCGAAGATGGGCGGTTAGGTGAGGATGGGCGAACCTGTTGGGTAACGGGCAATGGCTGATGCGAATTGCGATGGCGATAGGCGATGGCACGGCGGGACAATGTTTGCCCAAAAGGAGGGTAGACGAGCTTGCGCTGAGCCAAGGAACGTGATTTGGAAAGGCGGCGATGAAGAGGCAGGTGGTGAGACGACAAGAAGTGAAAGCCTGGATGGATGGAACAAATTCCAACTCCTGGCAACAGGAAGAGAGACGAGAGTGAGTTGGAGGAGAAGAAGAGGAGGGATGGATGCGAAGAAGGTGATGAGTGGATTAGTAGGTACCTAGGTAGATAGAGATGGTTTAGCTTCAGTGGAGAGCGTGAGGTGGGATACGGCTACGTACCAGATAAGTTTGGACTGTAGGTACTTCTGGCCTAAATTTACGTATGTCTTGCGCAGCTGGTAAGAAGCCTGATGTACCTTCCCTGCCTGGTTCCCTGTCTGCATTGGCACTTTAAAATAGAAAGTAAGAGATAGTCGAAAGCTACTGCTGCTGTATTTCTCGTACCGCTTTGGCTGGCCTTTACTACCTCACGAGCACAAATGAGTATCTGGGGCCATTGGATCACAACTTTAGCATCCAGACAGCTGGACCGGGGGATTATCCTTAGAGACGCCTAAAGATGGGGTTGTCCGCTGGTCTAACGCGCCTCTAGTGGCCTCCAGCCGGGCCTGGTAGAGCCCCTAGCACCTGAAGCTCGCACTGACGCCGGCTGACTCCGCTAATAGCGGGGATGCATCTCCTAAGTGCCATGGATAATGGCTGCAGAGTCTGGACAACTTGTTCAACTGAAACTGTCGACTCCTTTCAGTCTCTATCCTTGATCGGATATGTCAAGAACACATTGCTAGGTTCATTTCACCGAAATATGAGTCTCGAAATCACTGTGTTTGTTTTCAGGAGCATCCTGTATCCTGCTCACAAAGACGGTCAAAGTTCAAATACAAGGGTACCACCACCCCCCTAGCTTGAGGTTGGACATGGTCCATGATTCAAGGAGTCGATCTTTCTGAATGTGGCGTTGAGGGATGAGAAGGGCGTCATCTGGAGTAAATAGAGTGAAACTTGATAAGCAAACCAGGCGATGGATCATTGTTCATATTTACTGTACCTTGCTGTGAGACAGTCTTGCTTTGGGATGGAAGTAGTCGAGGTCTTGAAATTGAGCTGGCCAATATACGAACAATTAGAATTTTACGGATACTAACAGTGGAAATAGCTAGCCCAGCCTTTGGCTAACTTGGCTAATGCCGTTACCCCAATGTTGAGTTAAGACGAACTCATTCAGCAGAGGACAGGTCTTCGCTACGTTTCAATACCTCTACCATTCTCAACACACTGGCACTACTATTGTCAAACAATGTCGAAACAGACTCCTCCCCTAAACAAAAACCCCAAGACCGACTACCGAGTACTCGTCTTCATCCTCTACGCGTCCAGTGTTACACTTCAGAGCGTCCTAAACGAACGAGGCCCCTGTGACTACCCAATGTGGTGATGCTTAACCGTATTGGCCTGCGCTAGGGGCGACGAACCTGGGACCCCTTGCTTCAAGCCATGGATACACAAACAAATCCTTGCGGCTTAAACGTACCGAAGAACGAGAAAGGGAGCTATAAGTTAAAATTCTTTCTCTATCTGCAGTCAGAAGATAGCTATGGGTTATCTGATACCCATATTGTACATGGCGGACAAGAGAGAAGGAAATTTTTCCATTTATTAGGAGCATACTAAGTTTAGCCATCATAAATATCAGTTATTTAGTCGAACAGTTCTGGCACAGCCTTTACAAAGTCATGTGAGAGAACAAGGGGGACTTGATGTTTCTCTTCTAAGGTTGGCTGGCCTTTGCACGATTTATTAAACCCAAGAACTGGCAGGATCCCAAAACTCACGTCATTGAGGGGCAGTTCATAGTCTTACTGAAGAAATTTGATGAGCTGGAGCTCAAGTGATCTCATCTACATTTCACCGATTCTTCTCCTGGGATCTAGCTGCATCACTGGAGAGTGTCGTATCAAATCCCGTAAAGATCCAGTCAGTTTCATGTTTCTTTATTTCCATTAAAAACCATAGTCTGCAAGTACCATAGCTCACCAGCCACTTCGCTTCACAATGGCTATCTTTTCATGAAATGCTTCTTCACTCTGCCACAAATGTTCAATGCCTCCCTTGAAGTGAAAATCACTCACGAAGAAAATTCAACCAGCTTCCAATAGAAAGCCTTAGTGGTTCCAGAATTGCTTGTATTCTGTTTCAACGGTGCCTAGGTCATTCAACATTTCGGATTCCCAAATTACGTTACTTGTATTGTTATTGGATATGTTGTCCGATTCCCAATACTGTTTGTTGGCAGCTGATGCCATGCGTACCTAGGTATACAGTAATGTCACGGTACGTATTGTGTTCGAGACGACCTCGAGCTTAAAAAGCCAGGTCATGTAAATCAACACAGAGTTCAGCGCTTTTGTTCACTCTTGGGATTCGACTTCTGCTTACCTCGGATAGGGCTTAAGTAAGCTACCTTACACAAATAGCCAGCAACGGCCCGGCCCTCAGGTCGGCAGTGAATCACAGCTATCGGTGTTCTAGATTCGAGCTACCAGCTATGCAATGCAACCCTTCAGTCGGGATACTCCATCGCGCCTTGTGGTCTCTAAATGTTTCAAATCGACTTCCTCAGGAGTTACCCTTAGAAGTTCGATGCTTTGCCAAAGGTCGCCATCACTCTGCATTATCAGTCAACTACCACGAAGTTTACTACTTTTCATAAAAAAGGGAGTGTGCTATTGGTTACGTCTGTTAATCAGAAAAAGGTTCCCATTCCTGTTTATCCGGGCATCGTCAAGGACGCAACTACATCTATGGGCACTGTTGGAGCCATGTTTCACAAAATTGGCCCGAACCTACTAACTAATTCCTTAAATCCCTTCAGGTTCGTCAGTGTAGGGTACCTAAAGTGATCAAAAGACTCATGCTGTGGCTTGCATTTTCATGTGGCGCATGCCGGGACTTTATTTTAGCGGGCCGAGCTGAATCCATTTCTTCTGGAAGCTATACCATTTCCGACTAGCCCGTGGATCAATAGTCGACAATAATAGACAATAGGAAGCACCTACATGATGTTTTGATCTAACGGATCGACACCCAGCCTCTTCGAAAGGGCTGCCTCAACACGATTTATCAACTGCTGCATATAAACTTCACGCGACTTCGGCAGTCGACATCTTCTTCACGCTCCTTTTCTTTCTTCTGCAGAATTTAAAGAACAATTTTGTGCCGTCGAGAGCCAACATCATTGCTCGTTTGATTCGAAATCTTTCAACTTCCAGATGCGATCCGAATAAAGGACCTGGGAGCCCTTTGTATACGACATGACATTCTCGTCGCCTGCGAGGCGCAATCAGTTGCTTTCAAGCCCGGATCGCAACATAGCAGCAACTTTCCTTCTCGACTCACGAAACAATGAACTGAACCATAGGGATGCTCTGGCTGCAGCACAACTAGAGCATGACCGCGTACGGCAAGCAGCTATACGGGTGTATGAGCTCCATGAGTTACAGGAAGAGCACAAGCGCATTGTTGCTGAGGAGCGTAGAGAGGAGGAGAGACTCAAAGCGGAAGCTGCAGTAGTCGCGGAAGAAAAAAGACTGCGGGAACTCAAGGCAAAGACGGTCCCTCGTTTACCCCCAGAGCAGCCCGCACCGCAACCATCTCCAGCCAAACCGGAACCTACGAAGACGAACGGAGCAACTCAAATCAAAGACGCGGCACCGGCCTTAGATGTAAAGAAACCCGTTGTCTCTCCTGCGTCAGTCCCGGCATCAGCTTCCGCTACGACAGCAAGTTTTACTCAAACGAAACCGAGCAACCCATTCGGCACCACACAACCTGCTTCTGAAAGCCTATTACCGAAGCCAAACGGTGCTACAGCACAATCTACAGCCCCAGCTACCACGACCATTCCTCAGCCGGCAATCAAATCTGCAGCACCCACAGTACAGCCTGTGCCGTCTAAATCTGCACCCAGCATCGACCGCTATTCCCAGATTCACCAAGAGCTCAAGAAATTACGAAAAGAGTTGCAAGCTCAATCCAAGGTCGCCGGGTCGCCTCTGAAGGGCAAGCTCGGTGCTGCTCGACGAGAAATTCGAGTTGCTATTGGTCAATTGACGGGTGGAAAGGGTGCAAATGCCCAACCTGTAAGTCATAAGCATCGATTTTGAGACCATTGCTGACACTCTCCAGATCAACAAAATTACGGCAGCACTGAAAGAGGCTTTGGAAGGCCGGATACCAAGCCCACCGATTGATGTCAATCTCTTTGTGGTTGATAAAAGAGAGCCCGTGGAAAGCTCTCCAAATAACGAGGCTACACTGCCCTCCCTCTTCATATATCTCATAAACATCTGCGCCAAGGGTATTGTCAGCCAGTTCATTAACGAGGGTGGCGCAAATCCTAAGTCAGCAGATCCTGTTGGTGTATTTGCAGCTCATATCTTTTCCACCAAGGAATTCCAATGGCGAGGTCAGTCTTTAGTCGATATTCTCATGGCCAAATATCGAATAGTGTGCCCAGTGCTATTCGGACATAGAGGCAGTGACAAAACTGAACGTGGCCGTATGGCAATCGGCTGGAAGAAGGATGGGCCATCATGGATTACCGAACAAAGCCATAACGATAGGATGACTGGCCTAGGCGCTGGCTTTGCTTCTCTGTCTTTGAGAGATTTCGGCAAATCTTCCAAAAAGAACCCCTACCCACCCACGAATTACTGGAGGGCACTCGCTTACATTGTCAACTCACCACCCAATGAGACGTCAAACACTCAATATGTGGTGCTGCGATCCATGATTCAGGGACATGAGCAGCGTTTTCTCAATTTCTACGGCAATGCAGCTTTGGCAGCACTACGACTTGCTCTCGTCGAGTTTCCCAAGAAGGCACCGCAAAATGCGACTGCTGCTGGCTCCTTGGCTGCTCTGGCAGACGTGCTCAAGACCGAATCTGGTTTGATCTTCACTTAGAAGCAAAAGACGCCCTGCTGTATGATCAACCGAATACCAACTCAAAAGAACTCTAGGCCAGGATGTTAAAACTTTACGAAACGGAAGGCCGTTCTACTGCGAGATGATCCATTCTAGGCATCGTTCTTGGCGGCGTGTTATATGTTTGATATACTTGTTGAATTATAAGGTGCCATTAGGGTACAGAATGGCCGCTGCTGCTCTATTCTTGTTTGTAGTATACAGGTTTAAGACAAAAAGAGAGAAATACCCGGTCCCTGTCTTGGTAGTCATTAAAGTGATCCCAGCCTAAACTCCAAATTTCCTCCAAATTCCCAGATGTTGTAGCGTCATAAATGCTCTTGGGGCAGAGCTATGCATTCGTCTTTTGGCCTGGATGTAAACATCACAGGATTAGAAGGAGAACCAACAGTAGGATAAGGACGAATATCAGAACGGCTATGCAGCAACTGCTGTATCGGTCCTCGTTTTGCCGCATCACATACTGAAGTTTCTGAACGCCTGTTGCCAACCGGCCACTAACGCGATCAGCCACAGTATCTACCTCCTCCAACATCTCACGCTGCTCCTCGAGCTCTCTGCCCATATCATCCGCCTGGCGACGTAAGTTACCCACTGTTTGAAACACCCCGTCTAGGTGCTGATCCTGCTCGTGCATCATTTCCATCTGCTGTTGTTGCTCGAACTCGGCGTAGTTATCCTCGGTATCACCATCAATGGCAAATGCATTCGGGTCGGGTAAGTCGGCCGCGTCCACTTTTTTCGCAAGCTCATCGTGCATATCATCGATCTCGCCGCCAACCTCTTGGACGAGTCGTTTTCGTCGCGTGACTTCATGTGGTGATAGGCCAAATTGCGACGGTTCGGATTCAACAGCTCGAACAGATGCGACCAGATCTGCTAAGTCGTCGGCAAGGGATGATAAGGCGGACTCGAGATCGGAGCGAGCTGATGCGAGTTCAGGAGAATTGGCATCCGTGGAAAGCGAGCGGATCCGGAGATATGATGCGAATAGAGGCCGAGCATTCGCCATCTGGTTGAGAACATCTCTACGCAGGTCTTGTTAATAACAACAACGAAGCACCAGAGAGACGAAGACGTACTGTTGGACCTGGAGGAAAGGATCCTCATCGTTGGTAGAGGACATCATCCTGACAGCGTCCAAGTGACCATACGCAGTAAACACAATGCGCGAGGATTCTGCGCGACTGGTTGGGAAAAGGAGTGGATTAGTGAGTGTTAGGCCAGGTGTTTCACGATATTCGGGAGGCTGCGACAATGAAAGGTTCCGAGGGATGACGTTGCATGGACCCTGCAGGTGAGCTTAACCTGGAAGTCCTCGGTGAGAGGCCCGTAGTACGTATCTTCTTGGTTCACCGAGTACTCACCTACAAATTCGACCCGCACACACAAAGATACTGAATTAAGAACGATGGTTGTGGTTGAGAACTTCACAAAACTGCTTCCGTTGTCGAGGAGCCAGCCTTTCAACGCCAATATTCATATAAAGGCAACACCTGAATAGTAAACGGCGGATATTGAACTTGTACGTGTTGATCATGCTTCATGCCGCAGGCCATCACCACTGATAATTCTACAGGGTAGCCCAGACAAACATTTGATATGATACCAGAAAAACCCCTGCCATTCAATGGCAACTTCTCATCGCCTGAGGAATATATCGATGAGCTTCTGAAGTTTGTGCGAACATCCGAGACTTTTCAGATTCTCTGCGGCGGGGTCCACATCCTCGACTTTTTTACTATCGAGCCTGGTCTCTTTCATTATGCCATTCCCAAAGAGTGGCACGCATTCATTCTTTCAAGGAGTCTGATGGAGTTTCTCGACCTTCTCATGCGGGATGAATTAGACAATATAAAGCTGGAAGGAGAGCAGCCACCAGCGGCCCTTATAGATTACATTCGAACAGTCCGTAATCTTTCCCTCGGCCGATCATTTACGCCCCCTTCAGGGAAATTGCCGGTTCTGCCACGGTCGGTGGCCGTGGGCATGAACGTCAAAAAGACTCACGAAGTCACCAACTTCGCGGACTACTTGGCCCGACTATCAGAAGACATCAGTTCGCAGTGCGACTATGATATATCCCACTACGTGGACTTCGGTAGCGGCCAAAACTATCTGGGCCGGGCCATGGCAAGTGAGCCTTATAATAGGCATGTTGTAGCTGTCGAGGGACGAGAGAACAACGTTACGGCAGCGAGAGGACTAGATGTGACTTCTGGATTAGCAGTTAAGCCAAAGGTCATGAGGAACAAGAAGCTATGGACGAAGATTTTAGAAGCGCGGGGGCCTGATGGTCAAGAGGACCCAGAGGCCTTGGCCAAGGCTATTCAGGAGATTGCAGGAGGTGAAGCTTTTGAGTTTAGACCCGTCAAAGAACTCGAAGCTGAATATACTGTGGAAAAAGGAAAGGGGTCTGTTCAGTACATATCAGGTCGACTAGAAACTGGCGACCTGGCCGACGTTATCGCCCAAATCAACCCTGGGAGTCAAACCGAAGACGAGAAGAAGGACCTAAGTCTGATGGCTATGTCAATCCATTCTTGCGGAAATCTGTCACACTTTGGAATCAGGTCTCTGGTTCTCAACCCGGACATTCGAGCCGTGGCCATCGTTGGGTGTTGTTACAACCTGATGACCGAGAAACTCGGCCCTCCAACATACAAGCACGCTTTCTTGAGGCCAACTCTCCAAGCTGTCAATGGTCGGCTCGTTCGGGAATCAGAAAAGCATGACCCTCAGGGATTCCCGATGAGCCAGAAGTTTTCTGCATATCAAGGAGATGGGGTGCGCTTGAACATCACAGCCCGCATGATGGCTTGCCAAGCACCACAAAACTGGACCGAGAAGGAGAGTGCTGGATTCTTCTCTCGACATTTCTACCGAGCAGTCTTGCAAAAGATGTTCCTTGATCGGGGCGTGGTGAAGAAAGTGCGGCATACAGGTAGCCAAGAAGAACCACAGGCGGATGTTGCAGCCTCAGCCCAGGATGATAGTGAGAGCCCCTTCGACATCAGCACCAATCCAGTCATCATTGGGTCACTTAGGAAAAGTTGCTATGGGTCGTTCAAGTCCTATGTCCGCGGCGCGATGGAGAAACTCACGACAAACAACGAGTACAAACAGTATGCAGACGTGATGCAGGAGAAAATGGGCGACATCTCAGACGAGGAGATCGAGAGATACGAGGCATTGTATCTGCCTCGGAAAAAGGAGCTATGTGCTGTCTGGAGCCTCATGGCATTTAGTGCGATGGCAGTTGAATCCCTTATTGTATCAGACCGGTGGACATTTCTGAAAGAACACGACGATCTCGTCCGTCACGCGTGGGTCGAGACGGTGTTCGACTATGAACAAAGCCCAAGAAACCTGGTAGTCGTTGGAGTTAAGCGATGATTAAACTTTTAGCTAGGTCGTAATCGGAATGAAATGAATTGTCTCAAAATGACGATACCCGATCCTAGCCGCATCCCTGATGAGCGAGGTCCTCTTTACTACGTACATGTGTGTCCATGATGGGGACTCGAGGAGAGATGCAATCAGCTCCTTGTTGCTAGGTAACGAAAAGAACATGTTTGTGTAAGAGGAACTGGGTTTGGTAATTCATCAGTTGTGGTTATTGGTGGTGCTAGGCAATATCGGGACGTGGCTGGCTCTCCTAAATGGGCGATGTCATGCATGAACCCCCCCCCTCCCCTCCGCTTTCTCTCGACACTTCAGGAGTGACATTCTCAAGCGGATGACAGGACTGGAAGTTCTTGGGTCGATCAGCGGCCCAGAACAAGGGGAAATATATTTTACCGAACACGGTGTTTCCAGATATTCGATACTCCGTACGGAGGCAGCCGCGGAAAGTCCTCGCCTACAGGAACTGTGGCTGAAGAGGCTCTCTAGCCACAGATACAGGAGATACTTTCTTCTTAATGAGAGGCGCTAATCATCATCTCGCTATAGGGGAATAAGCAAAAGCTATACAAGGTAGTTACCTCTATAGCTCCTATAACCATAGCAGAGATATAGAGGGATCCCTCTATAAGCTAAAATTAGTCTATGTACTTCCTTGTACCTAGGAAAAAGAGTAACTGTGGCGTAAGTCCCTTTGGGCAAGAACTTTTCGCGGCTGCCTCCGTATATCCTCGCCAGATGGTAGTTCTGGCTCGCAACCAAAGATACTACCACAAGCAGTAGTTATCAGACGTGCCTCTCTTGAATCGTATTACGTACGATATGATGAGCTGTAAGCCTCTACTCCGTACCCCGGGACCCTTTATCTCGTAGCCCACTTGGCGTTCCGTCCCACAAACAAGAGGACAGTTGCCCCTCTTTGCTGATAGGCATTAATGAAGCAGCATCCATTTTCGAGGGCGTGCTGTCTGTAGGCCTAGCTGCGCTACCGACTCAGTTTGGTCATGGGCTGCCCCGTATGGCACATTGGTCGGCATCTGGTGTCGCATCCAACTTGTCAACTTCGTCATGGTGCCCTTTAGTCGGAAGTCGACAGGTGACATGGACTGCGTCACTCGTAATGCAAGGCAAATATCTAGGGCAGGACGATGCAATGCAAAGCAAAAGCATGCCTACCGACAAGTAGGAGGTCACGCAGTGAATCACGAGTCCAGTCAATGGTGCCATTTCTGAGCCACTGACAAGCGTGATAGAGAAGTCAAGTTTAGACAGGGCTCCTCCAAAAAAAGAGCTCTGGACAATGTTGCGCCCGCTGCAATGCCGGCTTTCGTGGGGTAATCACATCACCCTACATATACAGTTGCACATTGATAATGGAATGAGATTTCTGAGATACTGTGTTGTGTTGTGATTTGGTGTCAGAATATACCGAGGTGAGGTAAATCAAAGACAGCCGTATTTAGACACGTGCAGCGGATGAGAGTCATGCAATGTGACGGCGACGGACCTGCTTAGAGACATGATAGGCAGCGATCCATTATGCCATGTCGATATTGGGGTTCGCCGACACGGGATTCGAAGCATAGCTGATGGATTCAGGCATCATGTCACCTCTTGTTCGTTGGTGCTGAAAGCAAGGCAGCGGCTGCAGGCCCAGGGACAGCTGACACCTGGAGAGGTCCATTCGTGTGCTGTACAGACGTACAAGCTTCTCTGTATGTATGTACGTTGTATGCGACGTTGAGGCGAAGTCGTGTCATGGAATCATGGGCAGTACTTTCAATGTCTCGGCCATACAGATCCAACGTTGGCAGTTGGGATGCTCGAAAGCTGGGGTTTCAACGGAGTAGGGCGTTTCCAATTGTGGAAAGCCACAGGATCCTGTAACTAGGGTCCATCATCTATTGTTGGAGCTGACCCGAGCTGGATCCATGGAGGTCTCCAAGATGACAAGTCTGAATTGTGACGTTTCCAAGGAGAAGAAAAGGGAAGGCATTTTATGTCCGATTAAGATGCACATGTGACGGTGAAAAGGTAAAGCACAGCAAGGTAAGTACCTACCCAGCTGCTGGTCGGTGAGTGGCTTCCAATTGCTTATTACTTTACAGCTGGAGAGCAGAAGGTAGGTACCTATGATCCCCATCCTTTCCAGACCAACCTAAGGAGGATGATCTTTGGACGCCTCACTTATGGCAACATCACACGCTCTAACCGAAAAGCCATGAAGCTCACCTCATTCTCCTCAGCAAACAAACACCTATACATCGTCATCCTTTACAACCCTGTCGTTGGCCTGATGAGTGCATTCAGGTTCAAGGAGCGTTTGCTTATTATAAATGGAACCAACAAATATACTACTCTTTGGCTGGCTTTTGCACTAGCAGAGGTTGAGCTGATTAAGGCAAGCAGCAACTACATATCCCTCACATGGACGCGAAAATGGTTGAGATAGTGAATACTTGACAGTTGTCAAGTTGGCAATTCAAATTTTCTAAGTGACTACGGTCAGAAAATGTTACGATACAGCTCATCTAGCTCCTGACTATTGCCGCAGGTCAAGGCCCATGGTTCACGTTCTTGGTTGTGACCACTTTTGCCTTACTTCGTCTACTTACTCTTACACCACAACACAAGGATCTCGTCCTCTTCCGATCTTCCCAAGTCAGTGCAAGGATAGTCAAGAGGGCGGCTCACCTCTTGCCTGCCCCCACGCACCAAAACCGACTTGATTCTCAGATGGGATGGGCTCCTTTAAGAGAGTGCTTCAGGGGCCTGAACCTATCAGAATATCCGTTCGTCGTTGACTCCTACATCACGAGCCGATCTCAGGACGATTGTGACGCACTCATATCGAAGAAATATCAGATTTTAATAGCAACGTAGTGAGAGCATGGTTGTCATGCGGCAGCGTTACATGGTACATTTCTCGATGCCCTGTGCTGAAGGGGCCACAACCCAGACGTGCTCAGACATGGAGGACAGCTGATTCCTTCCAGCTTTGGCCATATGCTTCCTGCAGTCGCTGTCGTGGAACGACCTCGGCCACAATCATAGATGCCATCTGCACTTTAGTTACGGGCTCTGCCGTACCTGAACAGAAGCAATGTGTGTCTATGTATGTGCATCGGACATTAGGCCAAGATCTGCAACTAACCAGCCCTCAAGAGCCTTTCTTGACGCGAATCTGTCCATCTCCCGTGGATAACGTTGATCAATGTTTTGCCCAGGGAGCTCTACGCGCAGGCAAGCGGCAATGCTCAGAGCACGTCGAGCTTGATAAAAGTTGAGCTGCCAATAGGGTTTTTGAAAGTCAAGCCGCTGGCAGAGAGAGAGAGAGAGGTCAAAGCCAAGCCACCTCAGTGTCCTGAAAAGAGCTACCAGTCAGGATACCCCACCTATGCGTGTCCATCAACGTTTCTGCCGTCATAGCCAACTCGGCCAACTGGACTAGTCCCCAAGTTGGCCATGGCGCCGGACCTGGTCTCAGACGGCAAAACCCTGCCTGCAGGGCTGGGCTCGATCGAGGGACGTGCCCTTCCCGTTCGGCTTAGAGATAGCGATACTTGGGAGCAGTTGAAGTTACTCTTTAAGAGGTAAGATCAGGAAGAGAGTTAATAACGCGGGTTTACCCTTATCGTGCCCTCCATCGTCTGGTCTGGACTCACCTCCAACCTTTCTCAATTCCCTCGCAAACCTCTTCGCCTTCAAATCTTGCCTGCACTCTTAACCAAAATCAAAGTTTACCGGGTTTTCGGACACTGGCTGCTCCTTTGTCTCTTGTTACTCTCCAGCTTATCAGCCCAAACCTTGCAACAACGCTGAGACCAAACATCTTCATGATCGAGTCAGTCAGTCAGTCACTCGATCTCTACATTGCGCCGACTTGTCGCAAGCTACAAGCAGCTTGACTCTGCCAACCGTAGAACATTTGCATTGCGCTCCATCTACACCTTGACCCAATCCCGTTACACAAGGGCCCTGGACCTCTCCAATGCTAGCCGTTCATCATGAACGCGCAGGTATCATTTCTTGTAAGTGTTACGCCTCCCCGCAAAAGAATTGGCCCTTTGGTGTATCAGCAGCGGCAGCAGTTGGGAGTAACTTACCAAAGAACTACTTCGATCCTGACATTTTATCTCTAGGATGGCACATATACGCTGATTCACATTCCCCTCAGCCTCTACTCGACCCTGCTCCAGCCAATTCTCCGAGTACTTCTGCCACAATCTCAGGGAACGGGAGGCCCGCGCGATTCGCCCGAGTACGAATTGCAGGGACTCACACCTGATGGTCAGCATGGCTTTCTGAATATTAGCATCACTCCTCTTGAGTGTTCGGTTGTCTGTCACACCTCATGGGCTCAAAATGTCTTCGAGCCAGCCCTTGGAGCGATGCCGCGCGACATTGCGAAAACTGTTTCCGTTTCCAAAGAATCCTATATGGTACTTTCAGTCATAAGTGCTGGGCTTGATGCGGGTGGTCGTGTGATGGAATTGACCTCTCCGCTGGCCCTCGCTGGTATCCCCATCTTCTTCATCACGACCTATTACTCAGACTTCATCCTAGTCCCTACGAAAGAGCGGGAGAACGTGGTCAAGTCTCTCATCGCAAAAGGCTTCGAGCTGTCCGACAACGAGTCCAACTTCATCACTTCCGCTGCCAATCACAAGCAGGGCACTGGGCTGTCTGCAACTTCTCCGCCTCATGAGGGTCTCCCTCTCAATGTCGCTGAGTTGCAAACACGCATTTTTGGTACACTTAAAAAGAGGCATGTGGCGCCCCAGATTGAGCAAGCGCTTGAGCTAGTGCAATGTTCAGGTCGCGAAGCATCGCAGCTTGCAAACTTCACCCACCAAAGGCCTTCAATCAGCCGTCACGCAACAGGAAACGGCCGCCGACCAAGTTGGGCAGACAATGTGGACACAAAGCTCTATACATGCATCATCTCAGCGCTTGTCTCCCAGCCTCGATTCATGTCCGTCACTCTTGCTCAGGATGACCCGCCATCCCTATTGCTTGATAAGAATCTTCTCGACATATTTGGCGACTCTCTCGTCGGGGACACCGATGCTAGCCTGATACCGATCTTCCTGGACTTGAAAACTCTTCCTCTGGAGGCCACGGGTATTGTTTGCGGTGTCGCCGGTATACTCGTACAAGACACCCAGATAGCGGCGAGTTCTGAATTATCTTATCTCTCGACTGCTCAGGCAGGTGCTGTGATTCTTTCTGAAGAGCAGTCCGTCAGGGCCATGGGTATATTGAAGCCATTGCTCAGTGAAGAGCTGTGACGCTTTGAGCTTGATCAAGATACGTGTGATAGAAGATAATACTGCCACAATGATGTAAAATTACGGAAAGCTCACAATTTATGAGCAGATGACCAATGGCGCAACGGAGATGGCGTTTATTTTCTAAGAAACCGGGCTGTATCATTATTTGAATTGAGACAATTAGTATTTTGCCAGAGGAAGAGATCATGGAGATACGCCTGGCTTCTATGTTGATGCCCCTGTTGGAGTATCCAGTGAAACACTCTGTTGCTGATGTTATAAATCCGTCTCCTATACCGCGCAGTGTGCATGTGTAAGTCCCACAGTTATATTTGCATGGCCCTTTGTTGCTTTTGAGATATTGGAAGTACTCGAAGTTAGATTGTTCGTAAGGCATGTTGTTGGTTGAACTCTTGGCAATAATGACGCTCTGGGGTTGTCCAGTCTATCACTAAAATACCGTCTTATAAAGTATCCTTGGCCAGACATCGTTTCCCGTGACCTTAAGCAAATTTTAAGCTGGTCTTTACCAGCCATTCCCGTCTCCAGAACCCAGTCCCTTGAAAATCAAACGGTAAGCTGACTTGAAGGAAAGGAATCACGAAATCAGGACCTCACTGCTCACTTCCCCTTCTTCTTCTCCTGCTTCTCTTCTTTTACCAACCCGGACTTTACAAACCCGTCTCTAGCTACGGCATTGATGAGCGCAAACCTTCTAGGTCCTAGCTGAACACCGCCGTACCACCTCGTCACCACCACCATGGCATCCCAGATATCCATGACCTGCATCAGATGCAACATCCTTCCACCGGCAGCTGTCTCGCCATCATCATCGCAGTCCTGGAAGCTAGTAGCCCCGAGCCCACGGATCCGCCATGCTGTCATGTTGTGCGTGGCGCCGCGTATGCGTTTGTCTGATGAGAGCAAAAGTTGGACGTAGTATCGAGCCTGATCAGGTGAAGCCACTCGTGCGACATGTGCTAAGAATGTTGATTTTGACTCTGTCACAAGATCGGATAGAACCCATTCCGGAGGAGGAAAGTCTGGTTGCTCATAGTCTTCTTCTTCAGGTGTCGAAGGAGCTGGGGCCTCACTTTCAGGCTCTGGTTTCTGCTCCTCCGCACGCCGTGTGAACTCCTCCACGGCATCGAATAGACAGACCAGGCCCTCTTGAAATACTTCGCCCAGAGCGTCTCGGAAGAGTGCCAGATCACGAGCACCAGCGCCTTTGACACCACCGGAACTGTGGTGTGTACTGAGGGCACTGGGGGGCTTAGACGGGTAATTAGACGGGAATTTCAGACGCAGAGAGGATGCATCGCCTGGCAGTCTGAGAATAAATACAGAGGAGTCGTCTTCTGTCGGGACGAGGCTGCCGTCGCCGTAGATGGAATTAATTGCTTCAACTTCATCCTGAAGTTCTTCGGACATCGTTCGGGTTGTGAGGGGTTGGATGAAAGGTGTTTGAGGGTCTTGAGCTTTCAGTTTGTTGAAACCGCCCTAAACTTTAAGATAGATTTCAAGCAATAGTACATCTAGGACTGCTTAAAAACTCGCGTTAGTTCCATTGCAGGTCTAACAATATGCCAATATTTCTTGCAGTTGACGCTGAATGCACTTTAACCTGCAGAAACCCCACATCAGTTCATCCATTTCACCTCATTGGTCCACTAAATCCCCAATCCTCTCTTACGTAGGTAGGTAGTGCTTTCAGCAAACCATCTGGTGATAAATGGATGACATATAGTGAGTGGCCTTGTATTTAGAACAAATTGATATTGAGCGAGTACACTAGACTATGGGGCGGCGCAAACAGTAATCGAATACCGGTCATCTTCTGACCAATCCCCCAGCATGACCTATCTATAGCTTCAACACAGGAACAACCAGTAATGCAACATTAGTATTACATTACTCGTCCATGACAGCCGCAAACTTGTCTGTCATCTTCTGTTGAATCTCCTCGTACTAGAATTTGAGTTAGCACATGCATTTGTGTTTGCCACCAAAGAACAACTTACTCTCTTGGAGATCACATCCTGGCCGTCGGTGGGAACCTCAAACTTCAACTGTCGTAGGTTGGCTTGCAGGTCAGAAGTAGCCTCTCGTACCTTGGCCCAGCTCTGGCCTTGCGCGATAACCTTCTGAGCTTCATCGTGGAAGCCCACCATGAGCTTCATCATCCACTCTGTCTTCCAGATAGGACAGAACTGGTCATAGTCCGAGTAACCGTTTTGCTGCAAGAAATCTTCCTTGATCAGGCCTGCGATATCCAACGTAATCTTGTCAGGATCAGACAGGGCACTCTTTCCAACAAGCTGAACAACCTGGTCGAGCTCCTCGGAATCAGACAGAAGTTGCTTGATGCGGTCGCGGAGTCGAGGGAAGTCGGGGTAATTCTTCTCGTAATACTTGTCCAAAATGGTGTTATACTTGCTGTAAGATAACGATGTGTTGATGGAAGGGAAATGTTTTCGCTGCGCAAGCTTCTTGTCGAGACCCCAGAAGACCTGCACAATACCCAGAGTGGATGTAGTAACGGGATCCGAGAAATCACCACCGGGAGGACTGACGGCACCGACGATACTGACACTGCCCTCGCGCTCGGGAGAACCAAGAGTCTGAACGCGACCGGCTCGCTCGTAGAACGAGGCAAGCTTGGCACCCAGGTACGCAGGGAAACCCTGATCAGCAGGCATTTCTCCTAGACGACCAGAAAGTTCTCGAAGAGCCTCAGCCCATCGGGAAGAGGAGTCAGCCATCATGGCCACGTTGAGACCCTGGTCGCGGAAATATTCGGCAACAGTAATTCCAGTGTAAATGGAGGCTTCTCGGGCAGCGACAGGCATGTTCGAGGTGTTGGCAATGAGCGTAGTTCGCTTCATGATAGGTTCCTTGCGGCCATCGACCTCAATGGTGAGCTCGGGGAAATCCTTCAAGACTTCGGCCATCTCATTGCCTCGCTCACCGCAACCAACATAGACGATAACATCACTGTTGGAGAACTTGGACACAGACTGACTAATGACAGTCTTTCCGCAACCGAAAGCACCGGGAATTGCGACGGTACCACCTTGAACACTAGGGAAAAGAGCGTCGAGAACTCGCTGACCGACAATAAAGGGCTGGTCGGCGGACTTCTTGTCGTTGGAGGGACGTGGTACTCGGACAGGCCAGGACTGCATCATGGGAAACTCCGTCTTCTTGCCATCGAACTCGACCTCGAGAATGTTCTCGACGACGGTGTACTCGCCCTTGGCAGCGATTTTGGTAACGGTTCCTCGTGCACGAGGAGGGAACAGAATCTTGTGGTCTGCGAGGAAAGAGTTCTCGAAGACCGAGCCCCAGACATCACCACCGGAAAGGTGGTCGCCGACCTTAACGGAGGGTGTGAACTCCCACTTCTTCTCGCGGTCGAGGGCGGGGACGGCGATACCGCGGGGGATATAAATGGACTTGGCCATCTTGGAAATAGCCTCGAGGGGGCGCTGGATACCGTCGTAGATACCGTTGAGGAGACCGGGACCGAGCTCGACTGACAAGGGCTTTCCAGTACGGGTAACAGGGTCACCCACCATGACGCCGGCTGCGATGATGATTAGCTAGTTATTGTTGGAGTTTCATCATGGGCTAGCATACATGTCTCCTCGTAAACCTGAATAGAGGCCTGGTCGCCACTAATTCGAATAACTTCACCAACGAGGTTGTCATGTCCTACTCTGACCTGCAATAGCGGTGGGTTAGATCGTGGCGGATGATGACGATGGAGGATGATAGCAACTGACCAACTCGTACATGGCAACACCAATCATGTCCTCGGCCACGACGACGGGACTGTATAAAGTTAGCATGACATGTTGACAGTCAAAATATCGAATCGAGTGTATTTTTGGGGATCGAGAACGGATCGCATGCTGAAGAAAACAGTAGGTACTGACCCAGAAATGGAGTAGATTTTACCTGCAGATAGTGTTAGCGACACCGCAAGGTGCCTGAAATTGGTTAAAGAACATACCGGTTTGATATCCATCTTCCTCATTGGTCTTGCTGCTGTTATTCGCAGCTTTTGATGTTTTCTACAGATGGCCGTAAGTCAGTATCGAGAACCAAGCAGCATAAAATGCGCCGCGTTGTCGCCAGCAAGCTTGGGTGAGGTCGGGAATCAACGCACAGGAGGCATCTTCAACGACGAAACTGGCGCGTTGTCTAATTGAAGATGAGGGGAGGTAGGAGAATGCGGCGACTGGGGCCGAATGGAAGATGCTGTCGAACCGGGGGAGAGGGTTGACGAAGGAGGCGGCTGAGATAAAGGTTGAGGTGTTGATGAAGGTGAATATGGAGATGGAGACAGAGATGGAGATGGTGGTGGAGAGTTTGGCAGAGGCACCTGGCGAGCTACGTCCACCAACGCTAGAGCTGCTGCTACTGCTTTCCCAGCTCTTGAGTGGAGCCAGGATGATGACGATGCTTTGCGGGTGGGGTCTCGAACAGCAGCAGCGTTAACGGGAGGCGCAGGGGCTCTATCGCTGAAGCTCCCTCTGTAACGGCTCCCTCTGGCCCCGGAGCCTGAGCTAAGGCTATCGTCGTCACTGTCGCTCCCTTGCTCTCGCTGGCTGTTGTCGTCGTCTTCGCCTCTGGTGCGGATCAGATCCAGCAGGGAACGCCTCGCTCTAAGAGTAGGACGAATGCCGAGCATAAGCTACAGTTGATGCCTTTTTGCGATAAATATTTTTGTGGTTTCAAGCTCAGAGAAGTGTAAGTGGGAGATCTGGAGTATGTTGTTGATTAAGGTAGATGGGAGCCAATTCTCCAATGGGGCATAGCTGAGCTATAGGTTAGCGCTTGGACGGAGGCTGTACTGAAACATTATGCTCAGCAGCGCTACTGATCTCAGTGCCCAGTCGACAGTAATTCGAGGGTAGACTACTCCGTACCTACATTGAAGAAGGGGAATACCTTGAGGTACCCAAATTCTTTGTAGGCAACCGAATAACTCATGAAATAGCTGATTTAGTCACTTGATTTTTCTATAAGTAGTCCATTCCGATCCTGATGCGTCTGCCCTTCCTCCTAATGTATACCTACTGCCCAGTCCTGGACAGACATCTACATGCAGCTATCTCAGAGCAACTTGAGATAAATGACACTGGGCTTATTGTTTGATTCAACTACCTTACGGTAAGTCTTGGATACCCAAACCTCAAATTTCTCAACTTCAGTTGCTAAGAATACCAGCCTATGAATTCTTTGCGCCATGAGCAGCGGTTTACTTTGTCTTCCTATCCCTATTCTCCCTCTTCCACTGCTCTCCTAGCTCTTTCACCTCCTGGTTTGTCTTCATTATAGACTCTCTGGCTCCAGGCCAAGGCTTGCGACCTCGACCTGTGTCAAACAATCTGTAAACCGCTGGCACATCAGTTCCGTCCATAAGCAAGTTGTAAAACTTTCGGTCGTTCCACCACAGCTTCCAGGCTTCCCAAGTGAAGCACCCCAAGCGATCGGTGACTCCTGTACCTGCTGCTTGGTTCAGAAATTCGTAAGTTGGCTTGGCCCTCCACCGAAATCCAGCATGAGGAGCCGGGCCTCTCTGGAGTGTTTTGATAAGATAATCATAGTGATCATCAATATCCCTACGCCTCTCTTTGGCAGACGGCATGGGGTAGTCTCCAGACCACAAGCTCGCCAGAGCCATGGTAGTGAGATCATAAAGTACGAATGGAGGTCTCATGATAATCATATGACCAAGAAAAGCCAACGACTCAGGAAACTGTTCCGAGACGAAGCCATGGAAAAGACGTGCAAACCTGCTTTCCTCGCCGTAGAACTTGGTCGCTTCAATCCGCTTGTGGTGGTCAGGGGCAATGGCTGGGTCGGTCGGATCGCCAGGGCCCTTGACGATAGAAAAGTCATAGCCATAGCCCGAGCAGAGGATGATGGCATCGACGTCTTCCAAAACCGTGCCGTCTGTAAGAGTAATAGTCTTGGGACCAGTTACTTCCTTGATGCCCTGGACAGATTTGACTGTGCCATCTTGAAGGTTATCGGCCAGATGCTCGGAGAACAATGGAACTCGATGTAGGACTCCATCAACTGGTCGGGTACCGAATACTTCCTTCAAATGTGGCCATTCTTTATCTCGCATGTTGATCATCATCTTGGTCATGAGACCTGCAAAAATATTCGGCATGATGTTGCCTATTGTTCTCACACAAATAGACACACGACGACTCAATGTGTGCTCGAAAGCCTTGCCCTTGACTCTCCTAGGGAGCTAATAAAGATCAGGATCTGAAGCTGGAGTTGACTGGAGCTGGAGTTCTTACCACGAAGACGGTGCCACGATGGCTAAGATAGACCTTGTTGGTCCCAGCTTTGACCAAGAACGAGGTCGAATCTACACCAGTTGCCCCAATACCTACGACAACCACGTT